GGTACGTGGTATGTCCGGGATGCGAGTTGCTTGTTCCTGTCTATCCGAGCGGGGGTACCTGGCAGTCGGTGAGCAGGCAGCCCAATGCCGGTTGTCATTGGGTGCAGCGGAGGGAATCTGAAACGTAGGTGGATCGGCGGTGACGGGGAGTTGAGTTCGTTTGAGAATCGCGGTGGAGGGAGGGCGATGCTTCAGATCAGTGGTGGATGAGAATGCGATTAGGTTTGGCTATAATTATAGTGTAGTTCGTGGGCAGGAATTGGTAGTGCCATGTGTTTTGCTTGATTTTTCTCGGCTGAGGCAGATTTGTCGATCGCGAGGGGAAGAGAGAAGGATTGACTGGAACAGTGCAGTGAGTATTGCATCGTATGGTATTTTAAATATCTCAACTATTATAACTTTTCAATATCAAAATGCAAAAACGAAGTAGTATTATTAAAGTCAGCTGATGTATTGCATTGTTTGCCTTTGCAGCAGATGAAATCGGAGAGTAATCCAGAGAAATGATCTCGGCAGTCAACAGAACAATCATTGTTGGCTTTTCTTGCGATCGCAGGTGGAGACTGCCGGTATGCTGTGATCTGATCAATAATGACTGACAGACAGACACGAATTCGAGTCCACTCTTTGTCTGCAATGATCGTTCATTCTCCCCCTCCTCTTCCCACACTTTGCTTTTGCTGTTCCTGGTTTCAGGTGACTGATCTTCTTCATTTCCACAACAGACTGAGCCAGTCATAGTCGCATTCTCACCTACACTCATTTTCAACACAAGAATCAGTTGACTCCTAAATTCTAAGTCCTGTCAATATTCAATTTTTGACCATGATACTCATCAACCTGATCGATCGGTGGAGTCTGATGCCGTTGTGCCACCGTCATTAGTTCCTTGCTGACACGCTCCACGGCCGGGACGCATCACCATCCCCATCAGCCACTGAGGGGCCCTTCAGGATGGATCGCGGCCGTCAAGCATCAACACTATTAGCTGACTAGTGATGCTTACATCTGGAGCCAATAGTATATCGACTTTATCCCCCCAAAATTCGGCGAATCATTCGATTCTTCGCTTATTCCGTGCCTGACGCCATTGCCTTGATGAAACAAACACAATCCAGCGAATAAAAGGCCCGACTCACGGCGGAGGTCGCTGCCTACAGCCCTTTCTCCGCCCGACAGTGATAATGGTGGCTTTGACGCCACGCAACTCCCAAACGTCAGACGGGACAAAAATATCCCACCCCCGGAGAAAGGGCTGGGTAGAAGGGAAGGGAATCCCTTCGAAGGGGGGGTAGATGCCAATTTGCCAAGCAGTAGAACCTCCCTTTGATGTAGCTCGTCTACGGTTTCTGCATCTTTTTCTGCAGAATGGTACACTTGACGACAGGTCAACTATGGTTGCGGTGTGGTTCTTAGGGCACAGTAATTATCGGCATTACATGAGGGGAACAAGGCATGGCGCCCAGACGAGGGGAATGCCTTCGAGTCTGGACTGCAGTGGGGGGCGCGCAGTGGGCGTTCATCCCGGCCAGATGGTGAACTAAACTGCCACTAAACTAGTGCTGCCCTAAAGGCGCGGTCTGGCCGCTGCCAGACGGTTGGACGACATGACCCAGCACAGAACCGGATTGTTGAGAGTGATTCTGTCGAGAGAAAAGCTGCACAAAAGTACAAGATAAATGATGCTGTTGGGTAGACATACACCTCCATCCAAAGTAGGGGGAATCAGTCGGATACATCCACTGAACCGATCAGCTGCAGGTATCCGCACCACTGCAGGAACAACCACCGCAAGGTTCCCCCCGGACGCTTGCTGTCCAGTCGCTGCCAACCGCCAGGCACACGGGCTGAATAATGGGCGTCAATATTTCTCTGTCCCACTGTCCCTGAGCGACACACGGTACCCGCCCGATGACGTTCCATGGGTCGGCCGCGGTGAGGATGCAGGGGGTCAGGAACGCTCCGACGCAGGCAATCAGAGGGGGTCGTCGAACAATGGAAAAAGCAACGACTAGTGACTAGTCGTACTTTACTCATGCAAAGAGCACAAAACCTTCCTCCCTGTGGAGACCTGATTGGTCGGAACCGAATGGGCGCCTAGAAAAAGCACCCAACCCTAAGTTGTTCTGCAACTGCCACTGCCCGTTGTCGGGTGTCTATATAACCGCCCTCTTTCCCCTCCCTGTCTCCTACTCGAAACTCTCTTCCTCACCTAGATCTTCATCTCTCACCTCCCCAGCCTTTCCTTCTTTGCACCTGTGCCGTGCACGGTCAAGCCATTCCTTCATTCTTTGAACATATTGCCTGACTCCTAGTAGTCTAGCAGCCACTCTTTGCAAGAGCGCTTTGAGAGAACCGGTATTCTCATACTCAAAAGTTATACATACACATCACTTCTCTCCGAACAAAACCGAACAACCCCCGAAATCCATACATACACCATGGTCTCCTTCAAGTCTCTTCTGACCGCCACCACCCTGGCCACCGCCGTTCTGGCCATCCCTCATGGCGGCCACGGCCATGGCAGCCACAAGCACCGCTCCACCCACGTCGCCTCCAAGCGCGGCTCTTCCTCCAAGCGTGGCGCTGCCTACAACTCTGCCTCCAGCGTCCATACGCTGACCTCCGGCTCCTCCGGCAACGGCACAGTCTCCTGGGCTTATGACTGGAACATGTACGCCGACGGCAGCCTTCCCAGCAATGTCGAATACGTGCCCATGCTGTGGGGCAGCAAGATGTTTGGAGGTTGGTTGACCGCCATCGAGACTGCCCTTGACAGCGGTAGCAATTACATCATGGGATTCAACGAGCCCGACTCCTCCTCCCAAGCCTCGATGACTGCTTCCGAAGCCGCCAGCTCCTACAAGGAATACATCACTCCTTACTCTGGCAAGGCTAAACTCGTTACCCCTGCCGTCACCAGCAGCACCACCGAAGGCGAGGGTCTCAGCTGGATGAAGTCCTTCCTGTCCGAATGCAGCGAGTGCGACATGTCAGTGCTGGCAGTCCACTGGTACGGCACCTCGGCCGATGACTTCAAGTCCTTCGTGCAGGAGGCCATGCAGGTGGCGGACGACAACGGACTGGACGAGACCTGGGTGACGGAGTTTGCCCTCACCAGCGGCGAATCGGCCGGCAGCGATGAGAGTTCAGCGGCGGACTTCCTCGACGAAGTTTTGCCGTGGTTGGATAGCCAGAGTGGCGTGGGACGGTATGCGTATTACATGTGTGCAGACGGCTATCTGCTCAGCGGGGATGAGTTGAGCTCTAGTGGAAAGGTCTACGTTGCATAGACAACTACAACTACCTTGATTCCATTTAGATTTGCTTTACCTTGCCTTTTATCCCGTGATACCTTTTGAGTCGTTTTCATCTATTCTACCATTCTTCTGCCATCCCTCCTCGAAAGGAAGAGATGAAGCATCCCATTTCACCCACCCATTTTACTTCAATACAATACAATTTCAATTGAAGTCAGATAAAATTAAAACCCAAATAACAACTTTTCCACAAAAATTGAAACAATTAAAATCACATTCACAACCCCGACCGAAACTCCAAATTCAAAATCCACATACATCCCCCTAAACACACTAACCAGCCCCGTTCCACGGCTCCCCGGACCCAGAAAGCAGCAACATTGGTCCTTGCTCCCTCCTTTCCCCGTTGACTTCTACACATCCATGGACATTGCACCCCGTCGTAAATCTTCATTGGCTGGAAAGCTATTTTTGGGTTTCCAGCTTTCTATCTCATCTGGTTTTGGTCATGTTGATTTGATTATCATGAGGTTTTACCATGTTGGGTTTGGTCTGGGCTCGCTTGGCTTTTTTTTTTTTTTCTTTTTGCTTTCCCTTGTGATGCGATTCAGTTTAAGTAATTGATTGATTGAATCGTGAGATAAGTAGTTTAGTGGTTGTGGGGTTTGGGTTTAGTTGGTTCCGTTCCAATGGCTCGGGAAATTGGTTTTCTTGGTGAGATTTCTTGTGATAGTGAGTCTGGATTGTTTTTTTTGTTGCGTGGGCTTGGCTGCTTGGCTGCTTGTGTAACAACGGTCAGTCAGTTAGTGAGTTACTTTTCCGTTGTTCCTGTTTGGGGTTGTCAGACGAGGGAGATGGATAAAGTAGTAGTTTCGAGGGTGTTAGTGTTGAATAGGTTGCGGAAAGAAAATGGCGCAGGTGGTGGATAGTTGGATTATTTCTGAACCGTGCAGTAACTTAACTGTTAGGACTTTACTAACTGAATAACTGACTAGGTTTGGTTGGGTAAGCCGCTGGATTAGCTGTGATTTATTCACGTGATATAGGTCATGTTGGTGTAGAGTAGAAATGATCAATAAATGATTTTATGAATATTTCAAAATGAAACAGATAACGAATTAAATGGTAAAAACCTATGTTGTACAGCTCACCGATCTGACATGAATTCCTCGATCGAAGGTTAGTATGTAATGTTTTATCAAGAACAATGAATCTGCGGCATCCTCTGCCTCGAGGAAACAACTCACCCTGCCCTTGAACAATGACCTAGTGTCGCAAGTTAGAGGAACCAGGGAAGTTATACTGAAGAACTATTGAGGTATCTCTTCGAGTAGTCTGTCTGATTCGCAATTCTCCATCCGGGCTAACCTACAACGCCATCGAGATGGCTATAGTATTGATCGTAGACATACTGCAGACGATTTCTTTCTCGGTCTGTATCTGGAAAGAATCACGCTGGACTAATTATGAACGATAATTGCTTTCTTCTTGATGTTGTAGTAATTGTGTATCTTTCCATGTAAATGAGCAACACCATATATACAAGTCTCCGTTTTCTGGCGCCATTTAGAAGCTTTATCGCCTGTTTGGGAATTAACTGAACAATGGAAAAACCGTTATCAGGCACAATGTCAGGAGTGAAAAGGAGCTAGGATAGGAGCTTCTCGAGTAGGGCAATTTTCATAATCAGATAGTGCCCATCAACCCATATTTCATCGCTTCATTCACAAAAGAGCAAGATCAAAGTTTAGACTTGGCCCAATCATCAAAATCGCACTGCAGAACCGTAGTCAAGCGTGAAAACGAGTAATAAAATCCCTATAATAGAAGTTTAAATTCTCATTTACAACATAACACAGAGAATCTGGAATTTACTAACCTGAAGGGTGATGATCTCCACGATTTCTCTATCGGAGAATTGACCCTTAACACTCTTCCACAGCTCATCACTAACTTCAGGCTGTTGGATAATTGTTTCGACGAAGCTGAGCAGGATGAGATCTTTCTCGCTAAATCCCGCCGCCCCATTGTCAAGTTTCCTGTTGATGAAGTAATCCTTTTCCTTCGCGGACGCTTTGAGCGCCGCTTGCTGCTGCTCGGTCACACCGGCCTTTAAGGATACGGGAATATGATGGGTCCATTCATAGGTTGAGTTGAACTTTGAGGTTGTCAACATAATCACCAATTCACGGTGTCTGGCTGAGAGAGATAAGTGCTTGAACTGGGCGTTTCCTAATCCTGCCCAGTGATCAGCAGTTGCTGTGCTGTAGGATAGAAGTTTAATGATGTTGAGCGTAGGGTGCGATTTGGCATGCTGTTTAGGCGGCTCTGGATAGGGCAGTCGAGCCATGATGGTTCTTTTTGGAGAGTGACTGGGCTATAGAATGGTTGAGATAGATCCGTGTAACGACCAGATGTTGTTGATTCTGTGCGGGGGATATTGTCATATATTACAGTTGATGTTGATTAGCGATCTTTGTTGAGTCTCGGACGACAAATCCGTAAGTGCCTCCTGGGCCGAGGGCCGAGCAAATGGTCGACCCCCGAGGTCGTGGAGGTATAACACGGCGCTGAGGCTGAGTAGACAATTCAACGATGCCAACAAATGGAGCATAAAATAACAGATAGTTTAGGGGTTGAGCTTTAACTGAATGTAGTCGTGTTTGGCAGTCACGATGACGTATACAATGGAAGAGTTGCCGCATTAGTTAACAAACTTAGCTACTGCTTAATCATTACGTGCCAATACGGAGCTATGAAGGAAGAGTCAAAACAGTTGCGCCAGTTCTGCATCCTAGTATAAGTGGATATGTGTTATGACAGGTGGTTAGGTAGATAATAGTCAGTGGATGTCTCTGTGTATGTGGACACCCACTCAATTCATATTATAATAATCGGTTGTGGTTAGTTGATAATGTATCAAGTGCTGTATCTCATCATCCCTCGTGTCTATTATACATTCCTGAACGCCGGTCCGTCCGTCCATCCACCCATCCAGCCAGCCAGCCCTTTTTGTTCTCTTTTATTTTTCTTTTGTTTCCTGGTAATAATGTACATTGGTATTACCCGTCTGGGCCTGTGGCTTCGCCCATTTCGGTGTCTTCCGGTTCCGGTTCCGGGTCATCTTTGTGTCCGTTCGGTTGTTCGAGGTTGTGGTCGTGATTTGCTTCTGGTAGACCGTTTGGTTTCTCGACTTCTATGTCCCCATTCGGTTGTTGGTCCGTGTCTCCATTCACTCCGTCTCCATTCGTTTGGGGAGGAGTATTCGCGGTGGAGGTGTTGGTGGTTTCCGCTGCTTCTGCATCTGCATCCGCTTCCTCCCATACCCGCACGGTCCCGTCTAACCCGCAGCTCACCATCAGCCGCGACTCCTCCAGCGTGCATGTGTCCACTCCCAGCACCACCCCATTGTGACCCTCCAGACGCTGCAGCACTTGCTTGCTGACCACGTCCCAGCACAGCACAGCTCCGTCCTCGCTGCCGCTAACGACGAACGCATACCGCGGTCCGCCCCGCTCCCCATATACCCCGAATCCGCCCTGCAGACTGTATTTCTTATTGCCATGGCCCTGGTACGTCTTGATGCACCGCCCCTCGACGTAGTCCCACAGTCGCACGCAGTCGTCCAGCGTCCACGCCAACACGTACTTGCCGTTCGGGGAGAACTTGACCGCCGTCACGGGCGGGTTGTCTTCGTGCACCAGCGTCCGCAGACACTGGCCCGTCGCGGTATCCCAGATTCGAATCAGTCCGTCCGTCGCGCACGAGGCAATGAGGGTACCGTCCCAGACGACGTCGATGCCTCCGACCGGGTCGGAGTGTGCGGGCAGCGACCGCATCACTCGTGCTGATCGCACATCCCATAGGAATACCGCTTCATCGTAGGATCCGCTCACGAGCATGTTGCCTTTGGGCGAGAATGCTATCTGGTAGACGTAATTGTGGTGGCCGACGAAGGGGATCGGGTGCGCCTTGCCCTTTTGTAACTTATTAGTTCCAAAGAATATTACCAGAGTTATTTGCAACGTGAACCCACCGTCAATACATTCCACAGACGAATCGTCTTGTCGTCTGATCCCGACGCAATGGTCGCTCCGTCCGGACTCCATGAGATGGTAGAAATGCCTGCCAGATGACCCTCGAATGTATGGATCAATCGACCCGTCACCGTATCCCATACCTTGACAGCCCCGTCCGCCCCTTGTAACACTGTCAGTGACCCATTCGATGTAGATGAAAGTTGAGGAAAAAGGAGAGGAGCATAAAACCCACCTCCGCTAGCAATCATCGAAGAGTCCGGCGAGAACCGTACTGCCGAGACTCCTCGAATATGACCCCGTAGTAAATACTTCTGGTAATAAGTCACCTTGTCCGGTTTGGGCGGCGGCGGCGGTGGTTGCGGCACCGGGGTGGGCGACCGTTCGCCAAACGACTGATCAACAGCTACATCGCCGTCGGCGGCGGTTGCGGTCTCTTCGACATCGCCCTCGGCGCCGCCGTCTTCCTGCTCCGGATCAATTTCAGGGTCGAGTCCAGGCTCGGGAGCCACGTCGTCCTCCTCTTCTTCCGCCTCGTAGTGGTCGTGGTCGAGATATCGCTCCGAGGACGGCTCCGCGCTTGGCTCGGAGGGCGAGGACGGACTGCGACCGCGATTCCTCGCCGACCAGTACTCCTTCGCGTCGACAGCCAGCTCGTCGGGGCTCTCGGAGCCGCTGAAGCTGCGCGAGCGGCGATATGGGCGCTGTGGGGGATATGCCTTCTGGATGGACCAGCTGGCGCGGCGGCGTTCGGCCTCGTCGTGGTCGGAGCCCGCGGCCAGCTCGTCGGACGAGGATTCTACGGGCGAATGGATGAAGCCATTCTGGGCCTTGGGAGTGGTATCAAGACGACGTCGCTTGGAGCGATGCATGGAGCCATCCATGAGAAGGCAAAAAAACGGCGCGAGAGAATTGTGGGAAAATAGGGAGAGGAAGGGAGAGAAAGCAAAAAAGCAGCGATCGCGATGATTTCTTTCATCGCCGCGACTTTCATCCCTCGTGACAATCAGGCGATTTTGGGAAGGCGGTAAGACCATTTCCCCAGAATGTGCCTCAAGGCGGTGAGCACCATGATTTCATCGTTTTTCGTTACTTTGGCTTCATCTCCACCTCATCTATATCCCCCTTAATCATCCATGTTCATCTTCCTTTATTCTTTCTAGTCTTTCTATTGCCCATATTCTATCTCCTATTATTCTTACTATAATTTACGATATGCCCCTCTAATTTAACAATACTACATCATCCCACAATGTCTGCCACCTCCGATCCCCCCTCCTCTTCCCCCTCCTCAACCCCCACCCACATCCGCATCTTCACTCTTAACTGCTGGGGTCTCAAATACATCGCCAAACACCGAAACGCCCGTCTCGCTGAAATTGGCCGTCAGCTCGCAATTGCCTCTCCGCCGCCCGAAATCGTCGGTCTTCAAGAATGCTGGACACAAGAAGACTACGAATCCATCCGTCAGCAGACCCGTCACATTCTCCCTTACGGAAAGTTCTACTTCGGCGGTATCTGGGGCGCTGGTCTCGCCATCCTCTCCAAATGGCCCATCGAAGAAAGTAGCATGTTCGCATACCCACTCAACGGGCGTCCCACGGCCTTCTTCCGCGGCGACTGGTACGTCGGGAAAGGCGTGGCATGTGCGCGTGTCCGCTTCGGACCCGGAGTCCAAGACGTCGCGGAGGTGTTCTGCACGCATCTTCACGCCCCCTACGAGCGAGAACCCAACGATTCGTATATCTGTCATCGAACGGCACAGGCGTGGGAAATCGCGAAGCTAATGCGCGGAGCTGCGGAGCGCGGACATCTCGTTATCGGCCTGGGCGACTTCAACATGCTGCCATCGTCGTTCGCGCATCAATTGATCCAGGCTCACAGCCCCGTCCGAGATGCATGGCAGGTCCTGCATCCGGATTCGTCGGTCGGCGCGGCCATTGACCCCGTTGAGCAGAAACGGGGCAAGCCCGTTCCTTCAGCGGAATACAACCTCACGGAGAACGGCGCCACCTGCGATGGAAAGTTCAATACCTGGCGGTGGTCCAAAGAAGACCAGAAGCGCCTCGAAAAAGGCCAAGACATCGTCGTCGACAAAGATGCCCCATGTCCCAAAGGCAAACGCCTCGATTACATCTTCGTCGGAGACGGCAACTACCCCCCTTCATACCCGGCACCGCGCTGGTCCGTCGAATCCACCCGACTCTCAATGACAGAGCGCCACCCCACCCTCCGCTGCTCCCTGAGTGACCACTTCGCCGTCGAGGCAGTTATCACCCGCATCCCATCAGAAAAAGCCGCCAACGACACCACTATTACCCACCATTCCCCAGCCCCGAACGCCGCCCTCACACCCGATACCTACGACCGCATCATCGACATGATCCACACGTACGTCCGTCGCGAGCGATCACAGCGCCGGTGGCGCGTAGCGCATTTCCTAGCCTCGGTGATAATATCCATTGGCTGCTTCATTGGGGTCTGGTGGACAGGCGACCATCTACCATACGTAGCATTTATTTTGGTTCTGGTGAGCACGTTGAGTTTTGGAGCGGGGATCTTGGATGGCTTGATTGGAGGGTTGTTTATGTCGAGTGAGTTGCGCGCGTTGAAGGAGTTTGAGTGGGAGGTTAGGAATGCGAAGATGATTGCTGAGGCGGTTGGGGGGAAGGGGGAGAAGGCGGAGTAGGGTGATTTTCTTTTGGAAATTTGGGGAAAAATTGGGTATAGTAAACATTTGTGTATATGCATGGTATGTAAATCTGGAAAGAAATGAGATGGTGTATATGTTTGAATGGCAGTATGGGTCATGTCCTAAGTAGTAGTTGGGTCTATGCATTCTTTGTTCAAGTTGTGCATCTTATGCATACATGCATTCGTTTATGTGCCGGGGCATTGGCTTAGCGCTAATCAAGTATCCGGACCGGTGTCCATCTACGCAGAGCTACTACCCTACAATTTCATGAGGTAGTGATAGACAAGTAATTGTGAAATTGATCATAAAGAGTGTCGTTAACAAGCCAGCGACATCATCATCATCATCCTCGTGTGTTGCAATTTAGTCACGCCACGTGCAGAATCTTCCAAATAACGAGTGAAGAAAAACAAATTCCATGTGATCTCTCACACTCAAATGTAAGTTAACTGAGACATTTACTCAGCGCACTCGCGCTTACGCTCGTCAAAGATCTGCAGCGCCTCCTCGGCAGCCTTGACGCCACTCAGGACCATAGCACCAAAGGTAGGACCCATGCGGTTGAAGCCATCGATCTCCGACAGCTCCATACCACCGATGATCAAACCCTTGGTGACC